CACTTGGCACATGTGAGATTATCTGGCTACGATCGATTCTTGACGAGTTGGGTTTTTCAGTGACCTCTCCATCCACATTATATTGTGATAATCAATCTGCTATTCAGCTCGCTTCTGACTCTGTACTACATGAGAGAACGAAGCATATAGAGATCGATGTTCACTTTCTTCGGGAGAAGGTCAGCAGTGGTCTTGTTACTCCATCGTTTGTGGGGACCAGTGATCAAGTTGCGGATTTTTTACCAAACCTGTCACTCTGTCTATTCTTCGGGACTCCGTTGTCAAGCTTGGCTTAGTTGACATTTTTGCGCCTAGCTTGAGGGGGAGTGTTGGAGTATAGATAGTCTAGGTTTATTAGGATTTCTTTTCCCTTTTTTACCCTTACTAAGATTTTTATATTTTGCCTCAACTACAAGGATGTTTAAGTCACTCTGTATTATTTTTGGATATATATACGGGGCTCTACTCTTAATTTGAGTATCCTCTTTTTCACTCACATCTATTCCAACTGATGCCAATAAGTCTCCTTCATATCAAGTAGATTATTCAATTCCTTCTCCGCAACTTCATCTTGTTGCCTTGAACTCTCTGTTATTCAACTCTCCTTTATATTTGCCAGCTTGCTTTTCAAGAATTCTATCTTAACTGGAATCTGACCAACATGCACCTATTTCCACTTTAGTAACTCCACTCTACAGCTTTGAATTTTCGTTGTGAACCCATGAGCCATTGGAATAAGTGCACTAGAGTTCCAGGCCTCCTAGATAATCTCCTCACATCCCTCTCTCTTCACCCTTGCCGCTTCAAACCGGAACAATCTTTTCTTTGGACGCCACACTTGAGTTGTCAACCCCATGTTACTATTCAATAAGACTTTGTAGTGATCTGACTCTTTCGAGAATTTGTGAGAAACTCTTGAATTAGGAAATTTCGTCATCCATGCTATATTTGCACACACTCTATCCAATCTTTCCCACACTGTATTTGGTTCCTTCCAATTGTTGCATCAAGTATAAGGAAATCACATACCCCAAATCCATCAGTGCACAGTTATCCAAGGCTTGACAAAAGTCTATCATTTGCCATTCCACCCTTCCTATTCTCCCCTTCTTCTCAGCTTGTGAGAGAATTTCATTGAAATCCCCTGCACAGACCCAAGGCATATTATTTCTGCTTCTCAGATGGGTTAACAAAGCCCAAGTATCACTACGCTTCGAAATCTCCAGTTCCCCATAAATTCCCATTAACCTCCATGATCTGCCATCACCCCCCACATTAACCACGACATCAATGTGACCACGGGAGAAACTCTGCAACACTACATTCAGCTCATTCTGCCACAACAATGCTAAACCCCCTAAACTTCCTTGAGAATCTACTGCCACTCCGCTCATACAAAACATTATTTTCAAAATCTCTATTTTCCTAGAATTACATTTTGTCTCCGACAAGAAGACAAAATCGGGCCTCTCTTTCTTTAGGATATCGCGCAAGTCCTGAATTGTCCGAGGATGCCCTAGACCTCGGCAGTTTCAACTAAGGAGTTTCATGATGATCGGTGGGTCTGGAGACCAGAACCCACCGTTACCTTATCCAACTCTTCCATAACTAAAACCCTTGATTCATAACTAACCCTACCTTTTTTCTTTGCATTCCCTCCCAAATCTGAAATCCAAACTTCATTGCCTTCATCATGCTTTCGTTTACCGATTGGATCCATCTGGGGATTTGTTCGAACTGGATGTGAAGAACCCTTCTCCTTCTTGTTCCATTTCTTCATAACTATCAGGTCATGATTCCAGTTCATTTCATCTATTGCTTCTGACTCTCCCAACTTAGGTAGATGTTTGGGCTGGGCTAGATAAGATATGGGCGAGTCCATAAAATCTTCAATAGCCCAATGCTTCCTCCTGTCACTTTCTGAAGCCTGCTGGTTACTGCACACCTCCAAAATTTTTTGTTTAGAACCATAGTTAAATTTTTTGTGAAAAAAACTAAAGCTAACTTATGTATAGTGAAAAATAAAAGTGGGACCCAATTAACCAATTTGAAACAGAGCGGTGGTTTCATATTTTATTAATAGTTTTGTTGATGTGGAGGCAATCTATTGGCTAGTAGAAGAAATTGGGTTCAACAGGGAAACCAAATAGAATTTAGTCTCTAATCAAGAACCTAATTTAATATGGCCATTGAATTAATTATGAATTTTAATGTTAGATAAAGTTCATTTTTAATTTAATGGATACATTGAATTAAGTTCAAATAACATTTTTCTTTATTATAGATAGTAGGTTTGAAATCAAAGTCACAAAATTGAAAGTTAAGCAATCAAACTGAAGCTGAGCTATACATCTGAAACCATCAATATATTTTACCCCCTCCTAATAAATAAAGGTCATACAAAAGAATAAAGTCTTCATGTAATATAACCCTGATTTTACAGGCTTCACCTTTAGAAATTGACCAGGATATAGGAGCATCTACTGGTGGAAAGAAAGAAAAAAGATGTCTAAGAAAAATGCTATGCTCTAAAAGATGGGAAAGAGAAATGCCATGCTCGGGGGCACAAAAATAGAAAGAGAAATGTGTGTGTTTATGTGTTTGAGAGAGGGAGAGAGAGAGACTTACCAAAAAATAGAGGAGAGATAAGAGAGAGGAATTGTCTGATTTAGATTGGCCGAGGACCAGTCATCCAGGGTAGGCATTGTTCACAAAGAGCACAAGAATATATTCGAACAATCAGAGTGGATGCATCTTCATCACAATCAGTAATAGTTGGCATCCTAAGTTGATATCTCTAAGGGGGTGCTTGTTTGCTCAGATAAAGGTAGATAAAAAGTGGGGATTTAGTTAAAGTATCCAAGAGTCCCACATTTCCTAAATTTGCCCAAGGCATTTAACATAGGGAATAACTAATTTGGGTTATGTAGGACCCGACATCTGCAACACCCCATGACCCACATATGTGTGATAATTTTAACCAACCAGGAGCGTGGGATAGAAAATGAGCTGAAATGTACCTAATAAGATTGTGATGCAAAATGACATGCTTCACCCTGACATAAGCTTGGATTGACTTAAATTAAAGGGCATCATGGTAAATTAGAGTCAAATTAATGTGACTTCAGCAATCATTCAAGTAGATTAGTGCAAGAGACCCACACTTCAAAATTTTTCACAATTAGTTGGATGAGATTGGACTTCGAATGTCAATCCAGCCCAATCCCAATTATCTAGCCGAAACATGTCCTAACCATTTGTGCCATGGGCCAAGTTATTCATGGATCTTGTTAAAAAAATAGGTACGAAATTTGATAAGTCTGATAATTTACTTGTCCAAGCCGAGCCCAATATTCTTAAAAATAGTGTTTCGATTTGCCCCCAAATCTATTACCAGGACCGAAACTCGGCTCAATAGCCTACCCTCAAAAGCTGGTTAAAACTCGTCTCAAGAACCCGCATGTCCAGTCCAGTCCACCCAGCCTTCCTTTGAAAAAAAATTAGACTATTGAATTTGAAATTTTAAAATAAGTTCTCCAATGTCGAAATTTAAAGTTTTAGAAACTTAGATACTATAAATAATATATTATTTTCTTTTTCATATATTAAACAACCACATTTTAAAAGGTAGAGTTGTGTAAATGATAGATTGATAGGTAGTTCCCTACCTAATTGAGATGTGCTCTTTCTATTGTGATTCAATTCCTTCCTTATTCATAAATAAAATTATTAATTATTTATTTTTTTGTCCATTTGATTTTACTTTTCATTCAAAAATATAATTTATAAAATATTAAGTTATAAAAATATTTATTATTTTTAAATGAAGTTGTATATAAGGAAAGCTTACTAGTAAGCCCATAGACTCACTGGTTGGGCTGCCAGTAACCTACCCCTACCTGAACTTAGCTCCCTCGCCCAATATCTTACATAAGTAAGGGTTAAGATTTACACTATTCAAACCTAGGGCTGTCAAAATTTGACACAAATCGACACCAATTAAGTGAGTTTGGTTGAGATCTTAACGGGTTGACACGCCAAACACATTTAATAAACGGGTCGTCTTTGGGTGAGATCTGTTAAACCGTTTATCACATGTTTATCCGTTTAAATAAAATTAATATAATAATAAATTAATAATTATTTTAAAAAAAAATCAATAAAAAAAAGAAAGAAAGTAGTAGTGGACACATAAAAAGTCAAGCCCAGTCTAAAAAAATGTTTGCAAGCTTGGCCCAACCCAGCTCGTAGACATCCCTAATTGTTGGACTCCAAGTTAGATCGTAGAATTGAAAGAGAAGAAGTGACTTTTTATTTGTTTTATACAATTGTACTTTTAAAAGACTTACGTTGATTAAAGAGGCAATAGTGAGCAGTGTTATAGGGCATTTTTTGAGCCTGTAAAGCGTATGATCAAAATTGTGTGGTGAATGATCAATTTTTTATTTTGCTCTTGTACACACAGAATCACACTTATTTCTTGTTAATTTATGGATTGTCATGACTATTAATATTAACAGTTAGTTAATAAAATTTTTTTAAAAAAATTAAATTAATTTAAATTCAAAGAGTTGCGATTTTCTGTTGGCGAACTATTCTTGGTGCTTTTACATAGTCATTGTCCATATATATATAAACAAGACATTTGCAATAGATTAAATTACTTCATTTTTTAAATAATTTCAAAAGAGATTTGAGACTCTTTAGAATTGTTGTCTGCAAAATGCGTTTAGGTTTTGTTGTATCTTGCTAGTGATCGTTTTGCAAACTTTGTGTAAAGGTAAGTATTACTTTAAGCAAAACGATATTACACCCTTCAAAATTTACAAGTTGTTTCATTTCTACAATATTCCTAACCATTTTTTTTCCAAATTTGTATCATTCTTCTTCAATTCTTTTTCTCTTATGCTCATTCTGTGTTTTCTCAAATTACTTAGGACCATTCAATTGCTTAAAAGGAAAAAAAAAACAAAACAAAGAAAACCCTTTGTGCTACTTCATTTTCTATAGTGTTTTAGATCCTAATATCACTTATTACATCCTTATATCAACAAATTATGTCAATTTGTTTAGTCTCAACAACATTACTTGTTGGTAGTGGCTCAAAGTTTGATTGGTTTGGTGACATTATTGCTAAAAAAAGACCTATTTTGATTAATTGTATTTGTTCAATCATCATTCTCTTGTTGAGAATACAAGAGATGTTTTTTTACTGAGGGTTTGAGAGGGTAAGATTGAGTGGGTTGTACAAAGGGTTAAGGGCTTGGGTTTGAGATTTAAACATAAGTGGTGATGCTTTAACCATTATACCTATTTTCTTTCAATAGTAAAGAAATGAGACCGGATCATATCTCGTGGACGTATACAAAGCAATTTTGTCAAACCACATAAATATTGTGGTTGTGAGTTATGCTTTGATTTTTTTTATTCCACTTATTTATTTTCTTGTCGTTGTACTGACCAAATTACTGTGAAGTTAATTCCCAACAATTAGTATCAGTGCCCCAGGTTCGTTCAAAAAGATTGTAATTAAGAACAAGTGCAAATAGTTCTTGATTACCGATGCTCAGTATGATGATGGGAAAAGGCATCTTGATCGAAAAATTTGAGGTGGAGCCCTTTGATGGGAAAAATAACTTTATTTTGTGGCAAAACACGATTAAAGACATCTTAGTGCAACAAGGACTACCCAAAGCAATACTTGAGAAAGACAAAAAATCCAGCGAACATGAGAAAAGAGGATTGGGAGGAACTTGAGATGAAAACTGTGAGTATCATCCATATATCTCTTGCATCAGAGGTAAAATATAATTTTTTGAATGAAACTTCTACTCCAAATTTATGGAAAAAATTGGAAAAGATTTATATGTCAAAATCTCTCACAAACAAATTGTTCCTGAAGAAACAATTATATTAATTGCGGATGATAGAAGGAACAAATATTGTTGATCATCTAAATCAGTTTAACAAAATTGAAAGTTGAGGTTAAAATTGTAGTGGAGGATAAGACTATTCTCCTCTTGGATTCTCTTCCATCTTCTTTTGATACACTTGTGACTACACTTTTGGTTGAGAAAGATACTCTTAGGGTTGATGAGGTGATGGCGACTCTCTTGTACACTGAGACACTCCGAAAGCCAGGAAGTAATTCCCAAGCAGATGGGTTGATGGCCAATGGTGAACCTAGCCAACAACGAGGAAGAAGTAAAAACAAAGGCTTTGGAAATATAGGGCAGTCACACTCAAAATCAAAAGGGAAGAGTGACAACAAAATCAAGTGTTACTACTGCCACAAGGAAGGACATATAAAAAGAGACTGCTATCAAAGAAAGCGAGATCTAGAGGACAAATGAAAATCTATGAATTCAGATTAAATAGGCACTGCACAAGATGGTTTAGACGATAATGGTGATTTATTGTTAGTCACCACATGTATGAATTATCTTGCTGATAAATGGATATTGGATTTTGGATATTCTTACCACATGCGTTTGTATAGAGAATAATTTGATAATTATAAACCCTATAATAAAGGAACTGTTCTAATTGGTAATGATGCAATTTGCAGTACCATTGGGATTGAGACCATTAAAATTAAAATGTTTGATGGTATGGTAAGAACACTAGATGATGTACGATATGTCCCTAACATGAAAAACAAAATTAATTTCTTTAGGTACACTTGAGTCAAATGGTTTGACTTTTACGACAACGAGTGGGGTCCTAAAAGTTGTAAAGGGGGTCATGGTTGTCATGAAATGGAAACAACATGGTAACTTGTATATATTGGTAGGGAGTACTGTTACAGGTGGAGTAGCTGTGACAACTATGTTGGATCTAGGTACTGATAATACTACTCTATGACATTTACGCCTTGGCCATATGAGTGAAAAAGGACTGCAAAAACTTCATAGATGAAAGTTACTTGATGAGATAAAAGTTTGTCAATTTAATTTTTGTAAATATTGCTTGTATGGTAAACAGTGTAGGGTGAGCTTCAAGATCGAGAAGTATACAAGCAAGGATGTGTTGGAGTACATACACTCAATGTATGGGGACAAGTACCAGTTCAATCTAAAGGAGGAGCAGTATATTTCGTGACATTTATTGATGAATTCTCCAGAAAAGTATGGGTCTATTTTATGAAGCACAAAAATGAAGTCTTCGACAAATTCAAGTAGTGGAAAGCTGAAGTTGAAAAGAAGATAGGTAAGCAGGTCAAGTACCTACAGACAGACAATAGAATGAAGTATAAACTCTAGGAATTCAGGAAGTTTTGATAGACAGAAGGGATCACTCAACATTACACTACACCAGGTGGGCCACAACAAAATGGTGTGGCGAAAAGAATGAACATAACCTTTCTAGAAAAAACAAGATGAATGAGACTTCTTGCAGATTTGCCAAAATTATTTTGGACTGAGGCTGTTAACATGGGATGATATATTGTTAACAGGTCACCATGTTCAACTATTGGTGCAAAAGTCTCTAACGTGGTGTGGATAGGTCAACCAATTGATTATTTGAATTTAAGAATTCTTGGTTGTCCTAGCTATGCTCACGTGCAGGAGAAACAATGTTCAAAGTTGGATCCAAAGTCCAAACAGTGCATATTTATTAATTACGAAAAAGGTGTCAAATGTTATAAACTTTGAGATCCAATTGCACGGAAGGTTGTAATTAGCAGGGATGTTGTCTTCAATGA